AGATTTAAAGGTTTGGGGCGTGAAGGTTCCGGTGTTGGGCGGCATGACTTTAGAGTCCTGGGCCTGCGAAGGTGAATCGCAGTGCTGGGGAACCCTAAGCGGAGCTTCCACAGGCTAGGATGCCTCAGCAACCCAGGATTGAAAAGGGTACCCTTTTTTGCTTAAAGGGGTTTGTAAGGGAACCTAACCCCCAAAAAAAGGGAATAAGGGCACTACTGGGCATCCTCCTAGCAGGGGGATTCGGGCAATTGTAGACCCCAACTCGGCGGATCTCCTAAGTGTCGGAAACCCCCCAAATCCTAAACTCCTTTCGTTTTCACCGATGGTGGTTCCAACATAGCACCTGCATCCCCAAGAAAGAAGGAAAGCTTGAAAGGGCAGCAAGGAGAAGAAGGCAACAAAATCGAAGACTCGACCCGCTGTGGCTGAGCCACGAATGAAGCACTAAACCCAAACCCTGAACCCTGAACCCTAAATCCTAAATCCAAAACCCTGAGCCTAAACCCTAAACCCAACGCTGCACTACACCCTACACCCGAAACCCTGATTTCCGACTGGAAAACGCAGCAAAAGCAGCTCCCTTCATCCAGGCTTCAAAACTTGTCGCCAAGTTGTCTCACACCAGGGCGCCCTAGTCAAACTCAGTTACATCATGTCAGAGGTTGAAACTCTTCCCCTAAACCCGACCTAAAACCCGAAGGGTTTAGGGTTCAGGGTTGAGGGTTTAGGTTTGGGCTTTAGGGCTAGGGTCTAAACCCGTAACCCTTACCCGGCGCTGATTCAAAGATACGTGAATGCTCAGCAGACCCTCTGACTGCAGCGCGTCGGGGCTGATAGTTCCGAACGAGTCCATTGGTGGCACACGGGAGTTGACCTCAAACATGGGGCACTTTTCGTTTTTACGTACACAAGCCCTGGTCCGTAAGCCCTAAACCCTAAACCCTAAACCCCAAACCCCAAACCCTAAACCCTAAACCCTTGCAGGATTACCCTGAAGCTGAGTTTGGCTTCACCAGGTTTCGACACCATCTTGATGTCCGGAGGGGCTCTGCCTCACCGTCATAGACTCCCCAACCTCCCTCCAAGGGAGTAAGCCCCACGAATCCAAGACTTCAGGTTTTAGGGCTTATATAGGGTTTAGGGTTCAGGGTTCAGGGTTTAGGGTTTACGGTTTAGGGTTTAGGGTTTAGGGTTTAGGGTTTAGGGTTTAGGGTTTAGGGTTTAGGGTTTAGGGTTTAGGGTTTAGGGTTTAGGGCTACCCTTTGGGTCGGGGGCTTGGGGTTTGCTATGACACTGATTTCGACGCTGAGCTAGAAAGCCCCGAATGGGGCGCCCCCGCGATGGCTCACATGTGCGAATGTTTCATAGGAAGATGCGAAAGTAGGGTTTAGGGTTTAGTGTTTAGGGCTTAGGGCTTAGAGCTTTTGGTTTAGTTAGGGTTTAGGGTTTAGGGTTTAGGGTTTAGGGTTTAGGGTTTAGGGTTTAGGGTTTAGGGTTTAGGGTTAGGGTTTAGGGTTTAGGGTTTAGGGTTTAGGGTTTAGGGTTTAGGGTTTAGGGTTTAGGGTTTAGGGTTTAGGGTTTAGGGTTTAGGGTTTAGGGTTTAGGGTTTAGGGTTTAGGTTGTAAGGGTTTAGGGTTTAGGGTAGGGTTAGGGTTAGGGTTTAGGGTTTAGGGTTTAGGGTTTAGGGTTAGGTTTAGGGTTTAGGGTTTAGGGTTTAGGGTTTAGGGTTTAGGGTTTAGGGTTCAGGGCTTTCGGCTTAGGGCTTAGGGTTTCGCTGCAGCGCCACATGAGGTACAATCGCAGAGGCACAGGGTGAAGGCTGGCTTGCTGCTCAGAAACTCAGGTGGGTTCAGGGGTTAGGGCTTAAGGTTTAGAGTTTAGGGTTTAGGGTTTAGGGTTTAGGGTTTGGGGTTTAGGGTTTAGGGTTTAGGGTTTAGGGTTTAGGGTTTCGGGTTTAGGGTTTAGGGTTTAGGGTTTAGGGTTTAGGGTTTAGGGTCCGCCGACCCTGGCGGCGTGTTGGATGGGAAAAGGAGGTGAAACTTTTTCTTGGGGGGGGTTGGGTGGGGGGGGGGGGGGTAGGGGGGTGTACCCCGCCAGTTTTTCCGTGGAGGCAACATGGCAACCCACACTGCGTAATGGACAAGGCCCCCCCCCCCCTGCCCACCCCCCCCACCCCCCCCCCCCACCCCCCCCCCCACCCCCCCCCCCCACCCCCCCCCCCCCCCCCCCCACCCCCCCCCCCCCCCCCACCCCCCCCCCCCCCCACCCCCCCCCCCCCCACCCCCCTCCCCCCCCACCCCCCCCCACCCCCCCCCCAACCCCCCCAACAGGAACCGCAAACAAAACCCCCCAACAGGAACCGCAAACAAAATCACCAAAACTTATTCTTTTGCGGGGTCGGCGGCTTGAGCCGGAGGCTCTTAAATTTAGGGTTTAGGGTTTAGGGTTACCCCTAAACCCTAAACAACACCTAGACATCCTTGTGGTGGTATCTTAGATGCAGGCTGCAGGCCCCTGAACAGCAATCCAGTGAAGTCCGGCCATAGTGGTCCCAGGGCACTCAAGAGCCAGCAGGCCCCCCCCCCCCCCCAACCCTACCATTGTGACTTTCGGACCTTTGACCCTTTGACCCGAAACCAATTTAGGGTTTAGGGTTTAGGGTTTAGGGTTTAGGGTTCAGGGTTCGGGGTTCAGGGTTTAGGGTTTAGGGTTTAAGGTTTAGGGCTGGCGCAGGAAGCTCTGACTGGCAACCCCCCGTGACGCAACTTCCGGAAGACCTGGCCATGGGCTGGGTGCTTGCAGGATACTTGGAAGTTCATGGTACTTAGAAACCGAATTAGGGTTCAGGGTTTAGGGTTTAGGGTTTAGGGTTCGGAATCGCTACTAACAGTATTCCCTTATGGTCCCTACATAACTATACTTTAGCAACCCCCAAAACCCTGTTCTAATTCTTAAGGCCCCTACAGTCTAGGGTTTCGGGGTGTTTGCGGACCTAAGAGGAGCTATCATTAAAAGAAGTGGCCATCGACATGACATTCTACTGGTACCAGTCTTCCCATTTGGGCCGGCTTTGCAAAACAATACTTATGAAGATTGAGTAGGGTTCAGGGCTTCGGGTCAGGGATATCAGCAGCTCCTGGCAGTTTTTCTTTGACTACCACAAAGCAAACAGGTCAAAGGAAAGTGCTACCCACCCTACATCTAACCTGAACTTTCAAGCAGGGTTTGAAGGGTTTAGGGTTTAGGGTCTAGGGTTTAGGGTTTAGGGTTTAGGGTTTAGGGTTTGGGGTTTAGGGTCTAGGGTTTAGGATTTAGGGTTTAGGGTTTAGGGTTTAGGGTTTAGGGTTTAGGGTTTAGGGTTTAGGGTTTAGGGTTTAGGGTTTAGGGTTTAGGGTTTAGGGTTTAGGGTTTAGGGTTTAGGGTTTAGGGTTTAGGGTTTAGGGTTTAGGTTATAGGGTTGAGGGTTTAGGGTTTAGGGTTTAGGGTTTAGGGTTTAGGGTTTAGGGTTTAGGGTTTAGGGTTTAGGGTTTAGGGTTTAGGGTTTAGGGCTTAGGGTTAGGGTTTAGGGTTTAGGGTTTAGGGTTCAGGGTTCAGGGTTCAGGGTTCAGGGTTCAGGGACATCTTAGGGTCCCCCTTCTAGGTACCATTCAATAACGGAGGCACCTCGTGCTCAAAGGGCTTTGGGTTTCGAGTTTCGGGTCGAGAAACTGAACGACCCCTGTGCGGGTCCTGCAGCTCATGCGCCGCAAAATAACTAAATGACTCCAAGCTGCTATTTGCTTGAGAACCCCCCAAAACAGCAATCTTCTTCCTTTTGAGAACCCCCCCGCAGAAAAAAAAAACAATCTTCTTCCTTTTTCAGGGTAGTATCTTCCTTTTTCAGGGTAGTATAGGGATTATTTTTCTCATTCTTTGGAGGTTCTTCAGCAAACAGCAGTAAGCAGGTAGATGTCTGGTCCCTTGTGGGAATATCAGGCACCCAAGAAGGTGACCGTGATGTTGGAGAACTGGCCTGGTCCACCCCTAGCAGACTTAGCAGCCCAGTAACCATTCTATCATAAGGGCACCCTTTTCTTGGTTGGTTACGTTATAAGGGAACTATGAACCATAAAAAGGGAAACCAGATACCACTGGGCTACCAAGAAGAAGGTCCGCACTTTGCGCAGGACTGTGAAATGTCTATTCGCTGGCATACCCTTGGCCGCTCGGACTTTCAAGGAAGCTCCGATGTTGAGGGGGTTAGGGTTTGGGGTCTAGGGCTTTAGGATTTACCCTAGAAACCTGAATCCTGACCCAAGTATAAGTACAGTTATCACCCACTAACCCACTTGGAAGCCCCTTAAGCTAATAGGGTTATAATTGGGCTATAGGTACAGTTCTCATCGGGATACTAAGTACCCTGAACCTCCAAGTAAACCCTCGCCCATGCCCTAGTTGCCATGGGTTCCCCTACTATCCCCGTCTATACTGTCCCCCCCCCCACCCTTTTATTCAGGCGATTTAGAGATAACTAAGCCGAATGAAGGGTTATTTAAGGGGGGCAACCTAGGAGGGGTAGTATAGAGGGGGGTAGTAGGGAAATCCATGAAGTTGCGGCCCTGCTACTCCTCCAGAACCTGAAGGGCCACACGCATCCCCCGACGGCGAACCACGTCGCCTCCCCCGCATCCCCTTCGCAAAGCCCTAAGCCCTATAAACCCCTAAACCCCTAAACCCCTAAACCCCTAAACCCCTAAACCCCTAAACCCCTAAACCCCTAAACCCTTCGTAAAACTGGGGATTCAAGTCCGGCAACCGCAGTTCTTTTGTTCAATTGAGAGATCTTATGCCCTGCAAGCCCGAAACCCTGTTCATAACTGAACCTTAAGCATTAGCCCTCGAATCTTGAGGTTGACTTGCCCCTTAGGGTTTAGGGTTTAGGGTTTAGGGTTTAGGGTTTAGGGTTTAGGGTTTAGGGTTTAGGGTTTAGGGTTTAGGGTTTAGGGTTTAGGGTTTAGGGTTTAGGGTTGCTCTGCAGGAAAGTCCTCAGGAGTGAGAGCGACTCCGAAGTCACCAGGTGTGGGCGGTAGAAGCTCCACATCTGCCTCCGCTTGAGGAGTTAGACGAGGAAGGGTTCAGGGTTTAGGGTTCAGGGTTTGGGGTTTAGGGCTTAGTGTGTAGGGTTTGTTAGGGCTTAGGGCCTGAGGATGTAGGGTTTTTTCATGGGATCTCGACGATGGATCTTCGGGCGTATGGGCTCCTCTTGGGGAATCTCCTTAAAATCCTGGGTTCAGCGGTGGACATTCTGGTGTAGGGCCTCAACCCTGGACCCTGGACCCTCAACCCTCAGACCTCAAGCCTCCACCCAAACCCTGCGCGCCAAACCCCAAACCCTCAACCCAGGGTTTAGGGTTTAGGGTTTAGGGTGTAGGGTTTAGGATTTAGGGTTTAGGGTTTAGGGTTTAGGGAAAGGGTTTAGGGTTTAGGGTTTAGGGTTTAGGGTTTAGGGTTTAGGGTTTAGGGTTTAGGGTTTAGGGTTTAGGGTTTAGGGTTTAGGGTTTAGGGTTTAGGGTTTTGTGGTTTAGGTTAGGGTTTAGGGTTTAGGGTTTAGGGTTTAGGGTTTAGGGTTTAGGGTTTAGGGTTTAGGGTTTAGGGTTTAGGGTTTAGGGTTTAGGGTTTAGGGTTTAGGGTTTAGGGTTTAGGGTTTAGGGTTTAGGGTAAAGGGGTAACGCTGCGCCCTAAACCCTGAACCCCACCGTGAAGCTCCGCACCCGAGAGCTTTCCCCCTACGCCCAGAGCCCAAAAAAAAACCTACCTGCAGTAACCCTGTGCCAAAGAAGTAGGATTCAGGGTTCAGGGTTTAGGGTTTAGGGTTTAGGGTTTAGGGTTTAGGGTTTCGGGTTTAGGGTTTAGGGTGTAGGGTTTAGGGTTTAGGGTTTAGGGTTGAAATCGTTTTACAGTTCTCCAGGTTATCGTCGTGTTCGGGATCCTGAAAGAGGAACCGGCAAGTCCAGACCTGAACCCGCAACCCTGAAAACTGAATCCTGAACATTGGGGCCCTCAACCCCAAGACCCCAACCCTAAACCCTAAACCCTAAACCCTAAACCCTAAACCCTAAACCCTAAACCCTAAACCCTAAACCCTAAACACTACACCCCTAAACCATCAACCCTTCCACCCCGAAACCCTCCAACCCCAGAGGAGTCCTGCATCGCCTCAGGCCGCGTTGGCGCCTCGAAGGGGGGGCTCAGGCGCCCGGACTTTTTGCGGGTTTTTGCTTCGACTCCGAGTTCAGCAACATAGGGTCTACCAACCCTAAACCCTAAACCCTACACCCTAAACCCTAAACCCTAAACCCTAAACCCTAAACCCTACACCCTAAACCCTAAACCCTAAACCCTAAACCCACTTTAATAGAGTCAGAAGCCCTGAGCCAGCTTCACCCAAGGCACCACGAGGCTGCTCAAGCTCGGGCCGATGGGTCGAATCTGCCCCCGCTCTGGTGCCGGGTGGTCTGGGCAGGAGAGAAGGGGACTTGGGTGTTTAGGGTTTAGGGTTTAGGGTTTGGGGTTTAGGGATTAGGGATTAGGGTTTAGGGTTGAGGGTTGAGGGTTTTGGGTCAGGGTTTTGAGTTCTTGAAAGTTCATGGGTGGTTTGAGGCAGGGCTGGAAGCATCTCAAAACGAAGGACAACACCAGCCATGGCAAAACTCGACTTCTGGACCAGTGCATCCAAGCTTGGGGGTTTAAGGATGGAGCTCGAACCCTAAACCCTGCACTCCTGAACCCTAAATCCTAAACCCTAAACCCTGACCCTGAACCCAGCCTAACGAAACCCTGAACCCCTAACTGTAGGCGGTTAAGATGTTGTGTTTCTTGTGTTTCTTTTGTGGGGGGGGGTGGGGGGGGGGGGGGGGGGGGGGGGGGGGGGGGGGGGGGGGGGGGGGGGGGGGGGGGGGGGGTGCGGGGTGGGGGTGGGGGACTGGAGGGCACCAAGAGAAGAGGGCGAACACAGAAGCCTAGTTGGTCATGTAGGCACAACACAGCTTCCCAAACAAACCTAACTACTTTACAGGGGTCCCTGTCTTTCTATCTGTTGTCCCAAAATCCTGACAGCTCTTGAGGTGTGGGCTTGCAGATTGTTTGCATTGCAATTGGCTCTTTGCATGTGTGCAATCCTCTAAGTTGTGGTCCGGTCGAGGGTTCAGGGCAGGGTCGGATGAATCATTCCGCTATGGTTTGTTTTAGGGAGGGCGGGGGAGGGGGGGGTGGGAGGGGGGGGGGGGAGGGCAGGGGGGGCGGGCGGGTTACCACACTATAATGGGACCCTATACGGGAACTATTGAAGGCTGCCAAGAGGCCCCAGTGCACGGAGCAGATGGATTGCAACATCTGCCTAAGAGGTCTTTCGCGCCAGAACAAAAGGGGCTCCTGAATTTGAAGCCTTAAGCCCTACCTTCAGCGTTTAGCCAGATGACTACTTAGCTGCTGAGTTCATCATATGCCCCATAACAGCGTACGCTTTCAGTTCGAAAGGTGATTATAGTATCCCAAAAATTGCAAAGTGTACTCATTCAGCTACAAAGTTTACAAGCTGCACTACATTGACCGAGCTCAGGGGCACGTGCTGCGACAGCTCTGCTCGAAAGGAGTCCAGCTGCACCTCACTGGCCTGCGTCGGTTCACCCTTTAGGGTTTAGGGTTTAGGGTTTAGGGTTTAGGGTTTAGGGTTTAGGGTTTAGGGTTTAGGGTTTAGGGTCTAGGGTCTAGGGTTTCGGGCTTAGGGTTCTCCCCTTGCGGTTCAGGTTTAATTTGGGTAGGTTTGGGGGGCCCTATAAAGACTTACATTGTTCTGGCTTTATAACCATTCTACAGGGGTTTCTGGGTAATAAAAATGTAGAAAATGAGATACCCTTTTACGAGCAGGTAGAACGCAGACTCAAAAACACCCAAGTCAGGGTCTGGCGTTGAGGGTTCAGGGCTTCGCCTCAGCCTAAACCCCAAATCCTTCACCCCCAAGCCCTAAACCCTAAACCCTAAACCCTAAACCCTGAACCCTAAACCCTGAACCCTAAACCCTGAACCCTAAACCCTGAACCCTAAACTCAAAACCCTGAGCCGCACCTTCGGCGCAAACACTGAACTAGAGGCCCGATGCCAGCCGGCCTTCTTGAGGTCCCCAACCATGTCCCTGAGGTACGGAAGTTGAAGCGTCAGCTGTATGTAAGAATTTCCCCAAACTTCGGGTGCCCTCTTTTAAAAAAACCGTGACGTGCTAGAATCCACATTTTAAGAGCCCTAGAAGCTGGGGAAATCTGGGAAACCCGTATGCATTGCCCAAATGAGGAGAGGCCGGAAAGAGCTACAAGCGACTGCTGATGGGGCCTCTTCATGTTGAGGCAGAGACTTGGAGAGTACCACTGAGTCTCTGATCATCTTGTATTGACATACTACTATGTGGTTAGATTTCTATATAACTATCTTCTGAAATTATGATATGATCAATATTGTGATAAATATTCTGACATTTTGAGATTATGAGATTATTATATAAGGTAATGTTGCATGAAAATTCTGACATCAATATATTGGCGGCGGCGGTAGACGCCCTCGCCCTCGAAAGCATGGCGTAGACGCGGTAGGGTCTGTATACTGTACATCCAGTCCACGTCAACAAGAGCAAAGAACATGCAGGGAACTACAAGGTTTGCTGGCCAAGCAGGTCTCGTTACCACCAGGATCCCAAATGCGAGCAATCGAAGGATCGCTAAGGCACTAAGGGGGCACCTGGCAGCCATAGGGGCGGAACCTAGCTCATCAATATATTGCTTACCATTCTATGAGTCCGTGCTTGACGCCCCCACTGGCGCAACCACGGTGCTGCACGGAGCGTGCGGCCAGCAGGGGCGCGACAACGTCACCTGCAAGTCTGAAGCAACTTTCAGGGCTTAGAGCTTCGGGCTTAGGGTTGAGGGTTCAGGGTTTAGGGTGTAGGGTTTAGGGTTTAGGGCTAGGGTTGCGTTTTCCAGTTGTAACGGCGGTGGAATGGACGGAGTTCGGTTGCCAGAGCGAAACGAAGGGCTTGGGCAGAGATGCGCTGAACATCTCAGTCTAGGCAAGATTTCTAGAGCGTGCTTCACACGCAAGCATGGGGCGGCACTGCAACCGGCTGACGCAAAAGAGAAGCACGTGTTCGAGCAGTTATTTCTGGTAGTATGATACGAAGCATACCCTAGCCTTAAACCCTAAACCCAAAAAAACCTAACCCCTAAACCTTAAACCCTAAACCCTAAACCCTAAATCCTCAGTTCTCGCAGCGAGCGAGGAGTTTTTTTGGGAGCGAAGAACAGGGGGGTGGCAGAGTCAGGTTCAAGGGAAGCAGCGAATTCAGGCATCGTGCAATCGTTAAGAGCCACCAAACCACTCGAAACCACCCTAAACCCTAAACCCTAAACCCTAAACCCTAAACCCTAAACCCCCAAACCCTAAACCCTTGTCCAATGCCTGTATCTAGGGTAGCCGGTCTACCTTTGAAAAGAGAACATGCAGCCTCTCTCCCCAGGACCCCGGGAGGACCCAAAAAGTCGAAGCCCCCAAATAGTACCCTCTACTACTCTTGGGTCATTCTTAGGATCCCTCAAGGGGATCTACTTTTCGAATCCTCCCGAAATTTAGGGTTTAGGGTATAGGGCTTAGGGTTTACGGTTTAGGGTTTAGGGATTGGGCTATCGCCGAATTGCGGCCCGGCTCGCCTTTGTTCACCTCGCCGCGGAGCTTCAGCAGGCCCTGGACGAGCTCCTGCGAAGCCCTCAACCTGAAACCCCCTAAACCCTAAACCCTAAACCCTAAACCCTAAACCCTAAACCCTAAACCCTAAACCCTAAACCCTAAACCCTAAACCCTAAACCCTAAACCCTAAACCCTAAACCCTAAACCCTAAACCCTGATCAGTCTAAGCTCCTAAGCTAGAGCTCCATACCGAAACTGAAAGAAAAGGAGTGGGCCGGTCTACGACCCCCTCTCTGTACTCCCCCCCCCCTGAATTCCCCCCCTTAAATGACCTTAATTATGCTTAATTTTATCTCTAAATAGCCTTAATTATGGGGGGAACCGGGGGGGGGAGGTAGCATAGGGGGGAACCCATGAGAGTGGACCAGGTCTCCTGGATGTGCAGCGTGCCGCTTCCTTGTGGGGTCTCTCGCGTGGCGAAGTGAGGGTTGAGGGTTTAGGGTTTAGGGTTTGGGGTTTAGGGTTTAGGGTTTAGGGTTTAGGGTTTAGGGTTTAGGGTTTAGGGCTTAGGGCTTAGGGCTTAGGGCTTAGGGCTTAGGGCTTAGGGCTTAGGGCTTAGGGCTTAGGGCTTAGGGCTTAGGGCTTAGGGCTTAGGGCTTAGTGCTTAGGGTTTGGTGCTTAGGGTTGAGTTCTTGTGTGGGCACGCGACCGTTTAACTGGCGTTGGCGCTTGGGCGGGGGCTTCCTTATCATGTTCTTTACGGCTTCTGGTTCCTCACAATCAAAATTGTTTGCAACAATCCGCATGAGTAGAAGTCTGGTAGAAGTCTGGGTTCTGATTAGGGCTTGGGAGTTTAGGAGTTTAGGAGTTTAGGAGTTTAGGAGTTTAGGAGTTTAGGAGTTTAGGAGTTTAGGAGTTTAGGAGTTTAGGAGTTTAGGAGTTTAGGAGTTTAGGAGTTTAGGAGTTTAGGAGTTTAGGAGTTTAGGCGTTTAGGAGTTTAGGAGTTTGGGAGTTTAGGAGCTTAGGAGTCTAGGAGTTTAGGGCAACTTCGGAGTCTAGGTCAGTTCATGGATTGCTGTATGGTGTCTTGTGACACGGCTCTCTCAGAGTCTCTTCCTTCTAGTGTAGGGTGCCAAAAAGGCCATCATCACTAAGAGCAAGCCCCATGCAATGAGCACGCGAGCCACCAAAGCCTTGGGAGCGTAGAAGACCCAGAAAAACCTTAAACCCTAAACCCTAAACCCTAAACCCGAAACCCTAAACCCTAAACCCCACCATGTCTTTGCCTTTAGCCAATCCGAGCAACGATCCATAACTGACTTGAAAGAAGCAAACCAGACATCTCAAGCCCCACCTCAGCATCTGTTCCTCTAGAATGGCCCTTAAGACCCTCTGAAAAATCTTCCCAACCCTAAACCCTAAACCCTAAACCCTAAACCCTAAACCCTAAACCCTAAACCCTAAACCCTAAACCCTAGACCCTAGACCCTAAACCTAAACCCTAAACCCTAAACCCGGAAAAATGTTCCCAAATAAGATGATCCTCTTTGAACTACTGTTCCTGTCCCAGCAGCCATCAGCATCAATGACTTCGAAAAGATGCGCGCGCGAGGGCGGCAGGTCCAACTCGTCCATCAATGCCTCACACCCAGCGAGCCCTAAAACCGAAACCCTAAACCCGAAACCCTAAACCCTAAACCCTAAAACGGACCCTAAACCCCCAATATAGCTTAATCAAGCTATAGTTAAACCCGAAACCCTAAACCCTAAACCCTAAACCTTAAACCCTAAACCCCCAATAGAGCTTTGTCAAGCTATCGTTTAGTAGTTGGGGATCCTAATCGGGTGAAACCCTAAGGCCCCCCGCCCCGAAACAGCAGATGCTCGAGGGGGGAAGGGCCAGCCATGGCTCAGGCTGATGGGCGTAAAAGATTCCTTGAAACCCTAAAACTCAAACCCTAAACCCTAAACCCTAAACCCTAAACCCTAAACCCTAAACCCTGGGATCCCTTTGTGGTGTTAGGGTCTTAGTAGGGTTGAACACCCTACAAACCCTCCAGATCCTCCCAGTGTCGGGGCGATGTCTGAAGCAGGGCTCCTAAACCCTAAACCCTAAACCCTTAACCCTAAACCCTAAACCCTAAACCCTAAAGGCTCCTAAACCCATATCAAGATGCTTTGATAGAACTGCAAGTTACAGAAGCGGTAGTTGTTTCAAATCCTGTCCACAAACCTGACCACAAGGGTGGTTCTGTTTTGTAGGCTTGCCCGTTTGAGGGACTCTTCTCCCAATGATCCCTCACTAAACCCTAAACCCTAAACCCTAAACCTTAAACCCTGTTAAAGTACCGTAGCCGTACCTGAAGAACAGCCCCCGCCCCCCTCCAATGAAGGCGTGTTGGAGGGAAGAAGCCTGCACAGCAGGATCCTGGATCACCAAGAGAAAGAGCTCCTTGACGGTGCTTGGGGCCTATTCTGTGATAGGGTTTATGGGGTTTTGGGTTACCCTAAACCCTAAACCCTAAACCCTAAACCCTAAACCCTAAACCCTAAACCCTAAACCCTAAACCCTACTTAGGATTTAAGTAGGGTTTCCATTGGCTCATGAAATGGGTCGTAGAGTCTTAAAATGGGACTCAGGGTTCTGGGCTTTGGGCGTGTTTGGCCAGTCTGAACGGCGCCGCGGCTTTGCCTTGTCTTGGAAGTACGAAGGGCACACAGATGCACATATGTATATATATATATACATATATATATATATATATATCTGTGCATATGCTCATGTGCACACACCAGTCAGTATGTGTATATATATATATATTTATTTATTTATTTATTTATGTGTATATATATTTATTTATTTATATACTGGTATGATAATATACATGTATATACACGCCACCCCCCCCCCCCCCGATCTACGTTTAGAGTTTTCCAGAGCCCAAAAAAAGTATAAGAAAAAATCAGGATGCCAAAAAGCCCAAACCAAAAAAAAACAAAAACAAACAAAATTATTTTGCTTCGAACATCCCCACCCTCTCTTGGTAGAGATACTCTGCGGTTGGGCACTCCAGGGCCATTCTGGGGTTGGGCACTCCAGGGAGACTCTGGGGTTGGGCACTTTAGGGAGACTCTGAACCTCTAAGAATTGGCACTCCCAGACTCTGGGGCTGGGCACTTCGGGGACACTCTGGGGTTGGGCACTCCAGGAAGAATGTGGTGGGCAATTCGGGGACACTGTGGGGTTGGGCAGTCCATGCAGACTCTGAGGTTGGGCACTCCAGGGAGACTCTGGGGCGGGACACCAGGGACACTCTAGAGTCGGGCACTCCAGGGACATTTTGGGGCTGGGCACTCCAGGGATGAGCGAGGGAGTAGACCGGGCGAGGAGAAGAGTTCCGGACGAGGAGAAGAGTTGAGTTTAAAGTCTAACAACCCCACACCGAGGGTGGGGAATAACCAAAGAACCCATATTCGGAAAGGTGAAACCGAAACAACCCAAACCAAAAATAAAAACAACAAAAAACAAAAAAACACATTATTTCCTAACTCTTGACGTCAAGCGGTAATGATTACGTTGTCCAAGAGTCCCGGAATAATGGTTTTTGTGTCTGTTTTTGGTTTGGGGGTTTTTGGTTGTTTGAGTGTCATCTTTCCAAGAGTCTCAGAATAATGTTGTTTTTGGTGTTTTGGTTTTGGACTGTTTGGTGTCTGGGTTTTTGGTTTGTCTGATTTTGTTTTCTATCTTATAGAGACATAGTGCTTGCCTAAAATATGGGGAAATACTGTGTTTTCTTGGATACATAGTGCCTGTACTAGGCGAATATTGAACTAATGCTATATGAAAGAGGCGAGTGAACTATCCTAGATTTCGTTCATTTCTAGCATATCTAGTGCAGAATATAGTGATTGTGCTCGGCAAGCTAGACAAATACTGCAACGTTATTGACAACATGTTTTTTCTAAGGAATTCGTTCTGTTTCTAGAGAAGCAGTGTTTGTCCCAAGCCCAGGCAAATACTTTTCTAAATACATAGTGCGGCAACAATACTGAATTACTACCATATGAAAGAGGCTAGCTAGTGAAGTATCCTAGCCCTAAAACGCACGATTCGCATAAAAAAGCTTACAAATACACAGTTTTTCAAGAAACGTAGAACTCTTAAACAGCATCGACAAGCTTGCAAATACATACTTCTCCTAGAAACGTAGAATTCTTAAACAAAGACGACTTGAGCACAACGAACATGTGTACTAGATTTGACTATAAGGCGAGCAGTTTAAATTTCATAGTACTGAAACACTGCCCACGCACTAACGAAATACCTTTTGTACAGAGTATATTGTCTACAACGCACAATTCGCATAGACAAGCTCACATAATTTTTCTTAGAAGCCGATTATTTGCCTCATCAAGATCATAGTACTCGGAAAGTCACAAATCCTAAAGCCTTGGGAGAATCTCCGGCGAGGTTTGGACTGTTGGGTTCTCAGGTGTTTCGACACAAATAAAGCATTTTCCTAAGCAATTCAATTCGTTCTTATTTTTAAAAAAATAGTGCTTATTCCAAGCAATATGTTGTTCAAATAGGCACATTAAACACAAATTTAAAGCACACCAATGCAATATTCATTGCATAGAAACTCAATACTAAGTGCATACAGGTTGTGTCGATTTAGTATGAATTCCTATTTTCAGCTTGCTTCGAGTGAGCAATGAAGGACAGCCATTGGGACACACGCCGCAAGCCGCCCGATAAGCAAGACTTGGAGTTTGCATAGCCCCCGAAACGCAGCGGACTCATTTTACCACGGAACCAGCTATTGCTATAAATAGTAGCCATAATAATATTGTTATGGTTAGTAGTAGGAATTGTCCTTTTACTACTTGTTGTTGTTGTTGTTGTTGTTGTTGTTGCTGTTGTTGTTGTTGTTGCTGTTGTTGTTGTTGTTGTATGAGAGACCCTTTCCTTGGAATCCTGAAAGAAACCGCTTCAGACCAGCTCAGAACGCCAGCAGACCGCCAATCACTGATAGAGAGATTGTCGCAAGTACAGAAGCTAAGATGTTGTTTTTGAATCACACAAGGTACTTGTTTACTAAGACAACAGTAGACAAAACAGACAAAAGAACACGAGTTTTTTGAGGTGTTAACAGCGAGACTGCTATACATTCCAGGTTGTTTGGCTTTCGGAGTATAAACTGTCAAACAATTTGAAACCGAAATTCGGTCGCAGATTTACATACGTTTTGCATGCATGATGTGTTACGCAAAATAGTCGCGTCAATGTTC